TGTGTGTGTGTGTGTGTGTGTGTGTGTGTGTGTGTGTGTGTGTGTGTAAAATGGCAAAGGGACAATGAAGAAACTACTAGATTGGGATCCAGAATAGCTGCGTTCAGATTTGGCCTCTGATACAACCTTGGTGACCTCGAGTCACTTGATATTCCTGGGCCTCAGTTTCCTCCTCTGTAAAAAAGGGGCTGGACTAGATGACCCTTTGAAATCCCTCCTTGATCTAAAGCTTTTGACTCCAAGTACATGCATCAGTGGATGAGAGGGCAGTGGACTAGGCTTGCTAAGGAAGGAGCTGGAAGATAATGGGATTATAGCAGGATCAGAGAGTCCAAGCTGGAGAAGGCTCGTCTAATCCTTGATCATTTTACAGATGAGGAAACTGAGGCCCAAGGATATTGAGGGGTAAGCACTTGACAAATACTTTCTAATTCCTTCATTAATTCATCAAACCTGTGGTCTTCTGGGTCAGGAGAAGTGGTCCCCGGGGCATCCTGGACCCTAGAACCTTCTGAGTCTGGCCTGTGTGAGCATCTGGCCCCTTCTAGCCCCGGCACCATTCCCTCGGCAGGGTTGCGAGGAGGAGGAGGGGGAGAGGGGTGGACGCTGTGGTTAACTCCTCTAAGCTGGTCCTCCCCCGGCGCTAGTCTTGTGTGTTAAGTGGGTAGAGTGGCAGGTGGGGCCATTGTCTGGCAGCTTGGTGCGGGGCCTCTCCATTGTGGCTGGGGGACGGGGGTGGCTCCCATCCCTGGTTATTTGCCCTGATGATCTCCCCTCCCTCCCGCTTCCATGTAGCGGTGGATGGAGTTGGGCGGGGGCAGCCCAAGTGGGCGGGGAGCCCCACAGTCCCTTTCTTTGCAACAGATGTCCCTCTTTTCAATCTATTGAAACCTGGGTGGCAGCTTTCCACTCTCTGTTCTGACAACCATTAGGCATTTTTACAAAATCTCGTTTGGCCCAGCCCCTCTTCACCTGGAGACAAGGAGAACTTACAAAGATCACAGAAGTGAGGGGCTTGAAGGGACCCCAGAGGGCATTGAGCCCAAATGTAAGCTGTTTTCAGTTAAAGTCGGCAGAATGCTTTCCTCACGGCAACTTTTTGTAGCGGGTGCCAGCGGCCACTAAGTAGATAAGGGGCAGGGGCAGTATTAGAACTCAGGTCCCCTGTCTCCAGTTCCTGGGTTCTCTCCTAGGCACTACTGGTTATAGATTTAGAGCAGCAACCTTTCTCATTTAACAAATGGGGAAACTGAGGCCCAGAGAGATTAAGTGCCTTGTCCCTGGCCACACAGCCAGGATTCCAGGTTCTCCTACTCCATATCCAACTCTCTTTCTATCGGTTTGTAGATCTAAAGTGGAAAGGAGTCTTGGAGGTCATGTAATCCAAGGCCCTTATAATACAAATCTTTCTATCCAGAAAGAGAGAAGGATTTGCCGTCCATGGTTGCCCCCAACAATAAGCATCAGAAGTAGGACTGGAACCAAGGTCCAACGGCTCTCATCCAAAGCCTCCCTTCTTGATTCAGCCCGCTTGGGGGTGAAAGCTGGCAGGGCCACCCCTGTGCCCACGTCTAAGCATTAGGCAGGTTCCAGGGTTTAGGATGATGGGAGTTAGATCTGGAAGGGGAAAAATGCTAATCTCATTTCCACAAGATAGACTTTCAAATACTTGAACATGACTATCTAGCCCTCCACGGAATGAGATAACATATGTATAGTGCTTTGCAAGCCTCGAGGTCTTTCATAATGGGAGCTATTATGGTTAAGTCGATGATTCTAAGATCCTGCACCCTGGGGGAAAATGAGGCACAACAAGGATGAGTTGCTGTTCTAAGGGTTACAGAGACCCTCAAGAAAGGCTAGAACAAAGGACTGAGGCATGTGCAATGTGTTTCTCTGTGCGGTAGTGGGGAGGGGGCTGAGGAGGAGCGGTGTGTGTGTGTGTGTGGGGGGGGTGTTCGTGTGTGCATGAAACTGGAGCCAAATCCATTTCCCAGGGGCCCAGACTTACACAGAATGAATTAACCAGGAAATCAGCAGGGAGGATGAGAAATAGGGTGGGGGGGATCAAATGAAAGCCGGGGAAGAGAAGAAAAGGAGGGGAGCCGACCCCGCCGAGAACCCCCCCCCCCCCCGCCCCCTCCCCCCCCCCCCCCAGGATTGTCCTGAAAGGTGTAGGGAGCTGGGCTTAGGTGTCTCTACCTGTGTGTCAGGGGATGTACGTGACACTGAGAAAGCTATCACTGTAAAGCGTGTGTCTGTGTGGGAGACTGGACACAAAATGTGTGCGTGCGTGTGTGTGTGTGTGTGTGTGTGTGTGTGTGTGTATGTGTGTGAGAGACAGACAGACAGAGAGAGGAGAGAGAGAAAGGAGGGAAAGGGAGAGGGGAGACGGGGAAGGGAGGGAAGGAGAAGGAGAGGGAGGGAGGGAGAGAGACAGAGAGACATACAGACATAGATACAGAAAGAGAGAGAGGAGAGATAGAGAGAGATGGGGCACGGGGTGGAGAGTGGGAGGGAGGAACTTTTGAGGCTGAGTCTCTCTGTAAGGGTAGCAGGGTGCTGTAGCTGATAGAGAGCCAAGAAGACCTGGGTTCAAGTCCTGTTCTGACTTATATGAAATATTGTAATATGTAATACCCATATGTGATAACACTTAGCATTTATACGATGCTCCAAGGTTTTCAAAGCACTTTGTAAATACATCTCATTTGATCCTCACAACAAGCCTGGGTCGAGGTGCTTTTATTACCCCCATGTTACTGAGGAAGACAGGATTAAGTGACTTGTCCAGGGTCACAAGCTAGTAAGTGCCTGAGGCAAGGTTTGAACTTAGATCTTCCTGACTTCAAGTGCAGCCCATTATTGATTGGCTGCATTGGCCATGTAACTCTGGGCCAAGGCACAACCTCTCTGTGCCAGACGGCTCTCTAAATCTATTAATTGCTGATAAGATGCTAGCTCTCACTGGCAGAGGGAGTTCACTCACCTGGGCATTCTCTATACCAAGGAAATCACGGGTCCGGTTCCTATTTTTCTGTAAAGTGTGAGTGTATTAATATAATTAACAGCTGTTTGAGGCAGCTAGGTGGTATAGGGGGTAGGGTGGATCTGAGTTCAAATCCAGTCTTGGATGATGTGCGACCCTGGGCAAGTCACTAACCTGTTTTCTGCCTCAGTTTCCTCAGTTGAAAATGGAGATCATACAATTCCAAAGGACTTATGATGAAAAATACTCTCTTCCTCCAGAGAAAGAACTGATGGAGTTTGAATGCAGATTGAAGCTATTTTCACTTTCTTTTTTTTTCTTTTGGTCTGTTTCTTCTTTCACAACATGACTAATATGGAAATATGTTTTACATGATTACACATGTATAACCTATATCAAATTGCTCACTGTCTTAGGGAGGGGGGGAGTCGAGGGAAGGAGGGAGAAAATTTGAAACTTAAAATTTAAAAAAAGTTAAAATTTGTCTTTATATGTAATTGGAAAAATTAAAGACTACTAAAAAAAAAAAAAGGAAATGAGGATCATAACAGCCTCTACCTCCCAGAGCTGTCAAGAGGATCACAGGAGGTAATATCTGGAAAGCCCTTAGTGCAGTGCCTGGCACACAGTAGACGCTCACCCTCTTTCCCTCTTCTGTCTCTGTGTAAAAGGACATAGATGTATTTAGCTAGAGAGGCCACGATGTGTCTCTAAAGGTCATCCTAATTCTGGTCCTCACCTAGGGAAGGGTGTATGACCAGCTCCCAGTAACCCCTTGTTCCTCTCTGGTTTTCCCCTGTAGACTTACATCTTCACCGATGGAGAGGACCAGGCCCTCCAGGAGAGACTAGGTAACACGTCTCCTTCCTTTCCCAAGACTGGGGCACCCGCCCACCACGGGACTGAGGGTTGCAATGGGACTATAGAGTTTATCTGACCCAGCGATGAGGGGGACCTACAGGGCTGGAATGACATTGCCCATGTCATGAAGGTGATAAGTAGCAGAGTCGGCATTGGAACCCAGGTCCTCTGGCTTTAGGTTCATTGACTGCTTGTTCCTCTATGCTCTGTTGCCTCCTGGCCCTGGGGTCCCTGAGACAGATACGTGGGAATCCTTGATGTGATCTGAGACACAGTACTTGGGGAAGAGCAGGCAGTGGGATGGGAGTATCTCCTCTCCCCACTGCCTTAGTTTCCTCAACTGTAAAATGGGGATCACAATAGCACCTACTTCCCTGAGTTGTGAGGATCAAATGAGGTAATATTTGTAGAGCCCTGAGCACAGTGCCTGGCACGTAGTAGGTGCTGTATAAATACTTATCCTTTTCCTACTCTATGTAAAAGGACACAGATTTATCTAGAAAAGAGGCCAGGATGTGTTTTTAATGGTCATACCAATGACTAAGTGAGGAGATGTCCCCCGGGGGAATCTCATTTTCTCCCCAAAGTTAGGGTCATTAGCTTCTGCCTTGGGACTGTTTTGAGGGGTGAACATTCCCTGAGGGAAAGAGGATGACTTTCTTTTGGTACCTGAATTTCCCTTCAGCACAGGAAGGGGCTGACCTTTCTAAGGGACAGTTGTGAGGGGGAGGAATGATGCCCTGGGGAGGAATGATGCCCTTGGGAGCAGAGGGAGAGTGGGAGAAGCAGCAAGGGTGTGTGTGTGTGCAAAGATGAAAAGATCAATTGGAAAATCTGGAAGTGAGTCTCAGTTCTGTTACCTATTAAGAGAGAGGACCTTGGGAAAGTCACTTTCTAAGCCTCAGTCCTGCTGATGTGTAAAAAGAGAGAATTGCACTAGATAATTTCTAATGTCTCTCCCAGCTCTGACATTCCCTGTTCTAAAGTCCCTTCCTTAAAGGACTGGCCTTGGAGTTAGGAAGCCTTAGGTTCAAGTTCTGTCATAAATTGTCCGACCAGAGGCAAGTCACTTCACCTCTTGGAATCCCAGTAAATTATAAGTTGCTGAGCTCCACAGGTGAAGGGAGTTTCCCTACTGGGAGTTCCCCACACCAATGAATTTATCGATCCCAGGCCCAGACCAAGCTCCCTCCCATTCTGCCTTTCTATGAGTCAGAATGTTATTCTGCCCCCTGATCAGAGGAATGAATCCCATTCTTTTAGCCCCTGAGCCCTAAATTCTGAGGGAGGCTAGACTGTTGAAACACAGGCCTGGGAAGGGGGAATGGAGCCCCCATTTCACTGACTCTTCTGTCTTCTCTCTAGGGCCTCACCTCGTGGTCACAAACTGCTCTGCTGAGCACAGCCACCCGGCCTTGTCGTGCAAGATGGCAGCAGAGTTCGATGCCTTCCTGGCCAGTGGACTGAGGTCAGTGGGTTCGGGTGGTGTCCAACAGGGCCCTGCACCAAGCGAGGTGGGTATGGTCATGGACCCAAGCTGAGGACCATGGGGATTCTTAGAAGATAGTAGTTTTAGCTGAGGCTGAATGGTTTTAGCTTCCATCAGAAGAATGGGAGCTTCTTGAGGGCAGGGACCCTATATGTCCTTACTCTTGTCTCTTACCTAGCATGAGCACATGGCTGGAGACATAGTAGATAGCTTACTGACTGTCAATCGACAAGCATTTATTAGATTCCTACTGTATGCCAGGCTCTGGGGCTACCGAGACAAAGAATGAAACAGACCCTGCCTTCAGGAAGCTTACATTTTATAGGGGAGAAAACCTGTCAATAAAGACACATACAACGTGTGGACGGGATCCATGTACGATGCATTTGAGGGGGACGGTGAAGGCATGAGCTGTTGGGGGGGGATCAAGAAAGGCTTCTCCTTGAAGGAGAAGATGGGACTGGACCAGTTCTGAGGGATGCAAGGGCTTCTGGGAAGTGGAGGTGAGCTGAGAGCGTGGTCTTTGGTGCTCGCCCTCCTCAGTCTGCTAGCCCTTCTTCATCCGCCTTTATGTCACTCCTCCCCTTATGACACGGGTCACCTTTTTCTTGGTGTTATATTTCTTGGTGGACACTTAGATAATTGGATTGCAGATTTAGAGCTGGAAGGGACAGTAGAGGCCATCAGATCCAACCCCCTGTATTTTTAAAGTTAAATTTTATTTTTTTCAATGAATAAAGATTTATTGTCTCTCTACCTCCCCTTTCTTGAAAAAAGAAAAAAAGGAAAAACAAAACCCATGTAATAAATACTCCTAGTCAAGCGAAACAAAGTCCCACATTGTTGTTGTTGTTTAGCCATTTCAGTCATGCCCGACTCTTTGTGACTCCATTTGGGGTTTTCTTGGTAGAAATATTGGAGTGGTTTGCTATTTCTTCCTCAGTTCATTTTGAAGATGAGGATACTGAGGCAACCAGGGTTACGTGACTTGCCCAGGGTCGCACAGTTAGTAAGTGTCTGAGGCTAGATGTGAACTCAGGGAGATGAGTTTTCCTGACTCCAGGGACCGCACTCTATCTATTGCGCCACCTACTTAGCCCCACATTGATTATGCTCCAAATGTGAGTCTCCTTGTGTATCTGGAGTCCATTGCCTGTCTGCCAGAAGATGGGTCACAGGCTTCATTCTTGGTCCTCTGCAATTATAGTTGGTCACTGAGTTAATCAGAGTTCTTAAGGCTTTCAGAGCTGTTCCTCCTGACGATAAGATTTGTAGGAACTGATGGAAAGTGAAGTGAGCAGAACCAGGAGAACAATTTATCCAACAGCAGCGATATTATAAAGATAATCAGCTTTGAAAGACTTAGCATCTCTCATCAATACAATGACCAGGCATGATTCCAAAGGACTCATGATGAAACATGGTGCCCACCCCCAGATGGAGAGCTGATAGATTCAGAGCACAGATTGAAGTATGTATTCTTCTCTTTCTTTCCTTCTTTCCTCCTTCCTTCCTTCCTTCCTTCCTTCCTTCCTTCCTTCCTTCCTTCC